GTGTGGCCCCGCTGCTTGGAGAACACGGAGGCAAGAGGAACAGAATTTTGCTCCAAGTGGGAAAGGGTCCCAAACAGTCCAGAGAAGATGTCTGCCCTTTTCCTCCCTACCTCCCCCAACTCCCACACTGGCCTTTGTAAATAAATGGTGTGATGTTTGTTGTGAAAGTGTGTTGGTGTGTTTTCTGCTGCAGGCTGGCTAGACAACATCCTGGTTCTACCAGGAATAAGGTGGACTCTAGAGGGGTTTGAAGTTGGGTTCAGTTACCACAGCTGTTAAGGAGCATTGACGGTTAAGAGAGAACTGGCCAGGCCCAGTGGCGCACACCTGTAATCCCAGCAGCTCCAGAGGCTGAGACGGGAGGATCCTGAGTTCAAAGCCAGCCTCAGCAATGGCAAGGCATTAAGCAACTCAGTGAGACCCTGTCTCTAATAAAATACAAAATTGGGCTGGGGATGTCGCTTAGTGGTTGAGTGCCCTTGAGTTCAATCCTTGGTACCCCCAAAATAAATAAATAAATAAATGATCATCCGGGTGCAGTGGCACTTGCCTGTAATCCCAGCAGCTCAGGAGACTGAGGCGGGAGGAACGAAAGTTCAAAGCCAGCCTCAGCAATTTAGCAAGGCCCTAAGCAGCTCAGCAAGACCCTGTCTCTAAATAAAATATAAAAGAAGGCTGTGATATGCACAGCGATTGAGTGCCCCTGGGTTCAATCACTGATACCAAAAAAGAAAAAAAAATTAAACTGATCATGGAGGTATCAAAAACTAGGTTTAAGAATGAGGAAGATTGCATTCATCCATTCCTATCCCTAGCTCATATAACATCTGAGATCTGCCCCTTCTGGGAGGAAACTGAGGCATTGGGCAGACGGCTGGGCTACTTCCCCTATCCTCCTGATCTGTTTAAAGGACAGTCCTCCCTTAGCTCAGGCAAGAGAAACAAACCCTGTATCTGGATCTTCATGCAAGTGAAGTTTAGTAGTTATGAATCTTGAGCTCTGAGACTAAACCTGGTTCTACCTCTACTCATGCAACTCCAGGAAGTCTTCAGACCTAGAAGTTTCATCTTTGGTAGAGAAGTTACACACTAGAGTTCTGTGATAAGGGAATGAACTGTGCATGGGAGGTCCCAATTTTGAGAATGGTAGACCAGATGCTTCAGACCGATACTCTAAACAGAAATCCAAAAAGCTGAGTGAAACAAGAAAAACCAAGGGGTTAATAAGCTTGGCTTGGAGTCCAGAGGGTAAAGAAAGCCCTACAGACTGTCTTTGACCTAGACGAGTTAACTAACTGGGAAAAGGTTGTTGAGAGGCTGAGCTGTATATTTTGAGGGCCTTTGAAGGACCAGGAGCTAAAGAATTAAAAAGTTGGGGGGCTGGGGTTGTAGCTTAGTGGTGGAGTGCTTGCCTCACATGCATGAGGTATTGGGTTCGATCCTCAGCACCACATAAAATAAATAAATGATGGGCTGGGGATGTGGCTCAAGCGGTAGCGCGCTCGCCTTGCATGCATGCGACCCGGGTTCGATCCTCAGCACCACATACCAACAAAGATGTTGTGTCCGCCGAGAACTAAAAAATAAATATTAAAAATTCAAAAAAAAAAAAAAAAAAAAGAAATTAAAGCTGAGAAAGCCACCATGACTTTTAGGTTCACAATACAGAATATCTGCTTGGGCCTCCATGCTTCAAATGTGGCCACTTGTCACAGTCCCTTCAATGATGTTAAGGCACATATGGCACAGAAAAAAATCAAAAGCAATCATGATAGTTCACCTGAGAAATGGCCAATGTCAAGCCCACAGCAGATGAATATGGAAGGCAAAAATGAAACAGAAAGTCGAGTCCATATAAATTTTTACTAAGTTAGGGTTCCGAGTTCTTTCTAAGGCATACAAAACAAGGAAAGGAAAATAAAGCACCTGGGCTCATCCTTGAGGCTGGGCCTAGTGCAGAATGGCTTTATCCCCGATTCAAGA